GGTGTATAAAAATACAACTGCGTGAAACACACAGTAGTATGAAACTTCAACTGCGTGAAACACACAGTAGTATGAAATTTCAACTGCGTGAAATACACAGCAGTATGAAAATTCGGCTGCGTGAAACACACAAACTTCACGCATGCGTGGAGTGTATGGAGTGTACGGGAGTGATTCACGCAATGGTGCGAATAGTCACGGCCTTAAATTATATCCCTCCATGCATCAGAAAACTCTCAACCCGTACTTTTCATTTTCACGTACCACTAATCACAATGGTGAATTGTTAATGTCCAAAGGATACGGCAATATGTGCCCAAAGACAATGTCAGGCAAGGTGATTACCATAGGCTATGCCATTGCTGGTATGCCACTGTTTCTACTCTATCTCAGCAACATTGGCGACATACTTGCTAGGAGTTTCAAGTGGACCTATGCACGCTGCTGTCTGTGCAGGTGAAATATTTTTTTATTCATTTTCTTCCGCCTTTCATTGCTTGTGTTATGTGCACTGTACGTATCTGTGGTATGGCTCGTTGAGATTCTCATTTTCATGCGTGTTTTTCAGATGCAGAAAGAGGCCAAGAGTACCCCGTGATCCATCGAATGCTGAACCATACAAGAACACTTGGCAGGTCTATTCAATTTTTTTACATTTTTCAATTTTTCAGGAATTTTCAGCTTTTCTATTTAACACCGCGAATTTTTCAGTCTGTGAAGACATTTTTTTTTCCAATTTTCTTTAAGGATATCCAGGCATCTTTCACAATGGCACAGATCATACTGTAGATTTAACCATTGTCAATCAAATTGCCTCATTCAAATTACATTTTGCACAGAATTATTATTTTTTAAGCATTCAATGTTTGTAAATAAATAATGGAAAGTGAAATGAAATCGATTTCTACTTAAATTCTGAACATGAATAAATTTGTTACGATTACGAGCAAATGATTTTTATGATGGGAAATTGATTGTTCATGAATTATTTATAGAAAATGCCCGTAATTTTCAAAAATTGCAATTTTTAAAATAAAATCTCTCTTGTGGTTCAAATCAAATTTAAATTTCCAAAGTTGAAATTATAAAATTATTGTAAAATATTCGGTAATCTGGAGTCAAATGGGACTTGAACGCAAGCTCTGGCATTTAAATATAAATGTTGAAATCCTTTCCAACGAAAAAAAAGCCAAAGCCCTTGGATATTCTCAAAAGTTACTTTTTAAACGCGAAAGAATCTCCTTGAATACAAATATCTTCGATTTAAGATTCACGAACTGTCGAACGTATTCAACAACGTGATTAGGTTTTTGCATAAAATATTCATTGGATGAAGTTACGAAACTATAAAACTGAACGATAAATATAACACACGTACTTTTTTATTTTGGAAAATCATCAAGAATCAATTGTTCCAAACACAATATTACAATGCAGACATTTCCAATCGTTCCTAACTCATTAATTTCTCGTTATTTATCGATAAAAAAAATACGTTTGATATTATCCCGCAATTTCCGAATGATTATTTTGCAAATCATTTCCTTCTATCGTGTATATTCGTTGTTTATTCCATTTTATTAAATTGAATAAGATTTCTTTTTAACTAATTTTGTCAGATTTTCAACTTAGTTGAATGTTATCATCATTATTATTCTTATTATCCTTTTCTTCTATACAACCGATTGTCTTTTTTTTTAATTAATGGCGATCGATAGGGCTTAACAATCCCTAAATTTGAACGATTCCAAAATTTCCATTCCCGAAGCAAAACCCCCAACCGCATTGTCCCCCAAATTATTCCTCAAAAATATTGCAATCTCGTTTAAAAATTCCCCCCTCCCCCACATTTTCCCATTTCCCCCAATTCTCACAATTGAACGATTTCAGATGGTCAGAATGCAGTCCGGCAGAGTGGACACGGTGAGTCTAGATGGTGAAATTGAGTCCATGTCAAAGACAACGGGCAGCGACGAGGAGAACGAGGAGGACAGTGAGGATGAGGACGACGAGAGCGATCGTTACGATCCCCAACGCATTACAGTACCATTGACCCTTTGTCTCGGTATAATGGTGGGGTAAGTTTCCCTCCTACTCCCCCCCCCCCCCGCCGCCGCCCCCCTGACACTTATCCACTCCAGATAAAATGACAACAATGAGAGTTAAATAAACTTGCCAGTCATCAACCCCCCCCCCCCCCCC